ATAACAGTGCCCTGACCATTTTTATTGTGGCTGTGATCAAGTCCAAGTTTAGAATCAATTCTAGGGAGGTAGGGTTTATGTGCACTCCGATATCCAACAGACTCACAATCCATGTGACTGAGGACATTGTGTTCCTTTTAGAGCAGGGTCATCAGGTGTCTGGTGCCATTGCAGAGAAGTTCTCTGTCCACTAGTGACTTGCTTCCTAGAAAGGTTCACCTCCTTGATTTCCACAGCTTTCCAAGCAGCAGTGGAAACCAAGTGCTCACTGTGCCTGAGATAATGTGAACTACTGTGCTAGTTTGAATGAGAAATGTCCCTACAGTCTTGGGCATTTGAACGTGAGTTTTTGTCCTATTGGGGAACTTCATGTGGTAGAGCCTTGGTGACTGTATTAATCAGGATTCTCTAAGCATCAGAGTATCTTATGCAATAGTTCAATCACCTCTCTCCTGGAATTTATTGAAATGACTTTCAGGCAGCAATAAAAAATCTGGGAGTTTCTCTGTCCACAAGGCTGGATCTCTTGGCTGATCTTCACTATATACTGGAACATCAAATAAATAGACTCTTAATCACAGTGAAGGTATGGATTTACTAGCCAGGGCAAGCAGTAAATGAGCAAAGACACTGACTTCCCAGTCCTTATATAGTCATTCAGCAGAAGGCGTGGCAAAATAAAGGTGTGACTTTTGCATCAAGAGCTGGATAAAAGGAATGTGTCTTCACACCTCTAAATCCTCATAGCATGGATATTTCCCTCCTCTTGATTCACAGAAAATCCATCAAAAATAATCTCTCATAGGTGTTCCCTTAATGTCTACCTTGTAGTTCATTAGAGATGTAGTCAAGTTTACCACAAAAAAATCTCCATTACAAAGGCTGAATTCCATCATTAGATTGTCCTTGAGATTAAGGAATCTTGCTTGGTTCCTTCATTGTCTCTTTGCTTCCTGATTTAATTTGAAGATATGACACATTCATCTTCCACTCAGGCCTTAAAGACAGCAGAAAAATGCAGTGTGTCACACAGTATATTATTCTACTCATTGAGATGAGATTTACATGCAAATATACAATCAATTAGACATTATAGGGTTGGTTCCTCTTTTCTTTCCTTTTTGATTTCTTACAGTTTTTAAAGTTTATTGCAGGGTGTTCTTCTGTGTATCAGGTATGGTTATTATAGAGATACATTTGAAAATGATTTGTGTTGAACTCACAGAGATATGGCTGCAAATGCCTCAAGATTGATGGGATTACAGGCATGAAGCACCATCATTACACAGTTCCTTTGTATTTTTCTCTGGTTTTTTCTTTTTCTTTTCTTTATTTTTTTTTTGGGGGGACAGGGTTGCTGTGTATTATTTTTGGAATCTGTTCTGATACTTGCTCGGTAGACCAGGATGGCCTCAACCTCACAGAGAAGTGCCTACTTCTGCCTACAGAGTGATGGGATTAAAGGCTAGACCTACCAATATGAGATTGAAAGACTGTTTTCTTTTGGAACACAAATAATGGACTACTTTGGAATATATTGGGGATATCTTGCAGTTGCCCAGAGTAAGGGTGATCTTCTCCCTAGGCAGGTCTTGAAGGGGTTGTGGATCTACTCATGTGAGTTCCAGGTGGACACCCAACTCTCTTCCCTTGATCAGGGACTGCCAAAGAATTGCCAGGCTCTACCTGTAAGCCTGTAGCCTGCAGGACGCTCTATAGTGCCATTCCACCCCACCCCCACCCCACTGAATGAGTCTGGCTGCTGGGCAAGCAGTGCTGACTGAAGCCACAATATCTCCAAGTCTGGGGCTGGCAGGAGGACCTCTGAAGCTCACTGTAAAGGAGGACATCAGGTTCTCCAGGACAAGATCCTCCATGTATTCCAGCATCTTTTAGATGGAGTAGTTATTTTGTAGAACAACTGTAAGCAATGCATCTGGACCCTGATTCCACCTGAGTTGGTTAGGCTGAAAGGGGCTTCCACCAGTCATACAGGGCTGCAAACAATTCTTTAAATGTTTACCATTCATTTGTGTTTCCTCTCTTGAAAATTCTCAGTTTGGTTTGTTCCACAGTTTTTAGGTGTGATATTGTTTTTTTAATAACTAGTAACTGAATTATTTGTATATTTGGAATATTATCCTTGCATTTGATGTGTAGTTAGGAAAAATCTTGTCCTAATCTGTAGGCTTCCAGTTTGTCTGAATGACATTGTCCTTTGCTGTGCAGAGGCTTCTCAATTTCATGACTTCAAATTGTATGAATGTTGTTACACGAATGTGTACAGATGGTGTTGTGTTCAGAAAGTTTTCCTGCCAGTGAGTTCAAGGCTAATAAAGACCATTGTATTGCTGTGAGAGGTTAGACCATGGTCTTGTCAGAGGTATACCCACATGGTCTTGTCAAAAGGTATACCCACCTTGGGACTATGGATTCAAAGAGCAGTTGAAATTTTAAGTGCCCCATATGGACCATATTAGTAAAAGCAAGAAAGACAGTGGTGCTGAGTTTTTGACTTGAATGGTGTGGGTCCCTTGAAAAAGAACTTTCAGTGAGATGAATATTAATATGTGGCCTAGAGATTATTGTGGTGAAGTTCTAGTGAGGAACATGGTAGCTCTTTGTCCTTATCTGAAGAGTCTACCTGAGGCTAAATTAAGGAGTTTTGGGTTAATCCCTTTGCCAGAAGAAATCTCAAACACCCTAGTATAGACTCTCTCATACTAATATTAGCGGTTACTCTAATGATGACTTATGATGGAAAGGAGCAAAATGAGCTAGAACAATATATGCGGTAGAAGAATTTGAGTAGAACAAGACCACCAGTAAGTGAAATGGATATAAATCCCATGTTTAAGGAAGTAAACAGAATAAGACATGGGATAAAGGGAGTGATGACCTTAGGGCAATATCCCTCCCAATGAAGTTTCAACTAGTAAAAAGGAATTCAGGAAAACCTTACTGCCTGATGTAAAGTTGTACACATTTAATCCCTTCTCTGGTAAGGCCAAGGCTGGTGGATCTCTGAGTTTTAAGCAATCCCTGTCTAGAGAACCAATTGCAGAACAGTCAAGTACAGGCAGTGAAGGAAACCATGAAAAAAAGAAAACTGGTTAAGATGTAATGAAACAAAGGGGCCATGTTCAAGCCTCAGCAAGCAGCAAAACTCGGCGGATTCAGCTACATGGTTCTGCTTTAGTGTTCACGGTAGAAAAAAGGCATTATGAACTCTCCCTCACCAAGGAAAGAGTGTGAGGACAGGATTATCAGGGATATCCATGAATGAAGGAATACATAGGCCATTGAAGGAAAATATATATAAGAAGCTTGGATTGCCTAGAATACCACAAGGAGTTGCAGATATGTGGCTTTTTGGAGTAGGAAAGACTTGTTGGAGTAAGTATGTCACTATGGAGGTGAGTTTTGATGTCACATGTGCTCAAACCATGCCCAGTGTCTCAAACCACTTCCAGTTGTCTGCAGGATCAAGATGAAGCTCCTTACCCAGTCTGGGCTCTTTTAGCCTAATGTCTGTCTCCATCTCACCATGTCTTGGCATGATAATACTATATAAAACATGTGATGCTGTATGCAACTCAAATAAATAGTTCACTTTATAAGCAGAGTTAGTGTATATTCTCAGTAGTAGAAACCATATAAGTATGCATGCTGTGTGCTAATTAGTATTTGTATTTGTATTTTCATTATAGGGAAGTTGGTACCTAGCAGGAGCTGAAACACATCTGTGTATGAGGGCAGTAGCTCTTGAGGGGATACACAGTAGAACATGACACGCACCGTATTCTGCCATAGTAGTTCTTGGAAGGTAGGAGAGTGTATTCTGTGCATGACCTGACACCTAGCTCACCATGTGGAGCCTAATTGGAGAAAAATATAGCAGAACTTACACTGTATGAATACAAGGACTACCATGCTAATGCAGGCGTTATGTAGAAGGTTGTAAAAACTAACTGGATATATGTAAGTGGTCTTTAAGTTCATGGAGAAAGTTTATGCACCAGGGCCTGATATGTAGATTTGTATGCATATGTGCAATTTTTCTGGAGGAGAGTGGCTACCTAGCAGAGACAGAATACCAAAGTATACATGGTCCTCACGGTATGATGCAGGGCATGCCAAATGGATCCCGTAACCTAACATTGGTTCTGTGTATGTGCATGTGCATAGAGAATGAGAGAGAAGTTAGGAGAGGAGAGAGTAGATGCAGTGTGTTGCTTTGGAAGTAGGGAAGGGAATACCTAGCAAGACATGACAAATACGTATATGTTTTAAATGGGGCTTCATTGTAAAAGAATGTGATAAGCAGGTCCTGAAGCATATACATGTGGAAGGCTGGGACTTTATGGTTTTATAGCTGGCAAGCTCTGAAAATTTGATGTATGTGTCCATGCATTCAAGTGTGTGTTTGTATGTGGCTTTGACTATGGGGAGAGAAACCAAGCAGGTGCCCTCTGAGACAGTACATTTTACATTAACTCCAGGATATTTATTAATATATAATAGAGAAAATACAATGGAAGAGAACATCTAGGTGGGCAAAGCAAATGTGTCTTTATTAACTGCACAGTCCTCTCTTTTCTTTGTAGCTTATAAGAGTATCCAGCACTCACCATGGGGTTGTGGAGGAGCAAATCACAGTGCCCTCAGTGCAAAGGACATTTGCTTGTTAATCAGGTTCTAGGCCCTGAATGGGATGTATCCAGAGGTTGTGTGTCCAAACTTGTCCTGTTCTTTGGGCATGTTGACCCCATGGATGGTTGCTCTATGGAGAAGTCCATGTTCAGAAATCTGGTGGGTGTTCCATCGAGGGTTGACTCACATGAGGAGAGATCACCTGGCAGGCTGTCCACAAAATTCTTGTTGACAGCTTTGTCCCCAAAGGCACTGTTTGTGACATTAGCCATATTGACTCCTGGGAATATTTCTTCTGATCTGGGATTCAGCTCAAGGCAGTAGCATTTATTGACCATGATATAGATTCACAAACTCTTTACTCTTTCTTTCATACCATCCCACTGAAAGTGCCTTTTCCCTGTTTCTATAATTGATGGAAAGGCTGGTTCACTGGCTCTCCTCTTCAAGGGGAGAAGTGGTGGTAAAGCATGAACAGGTCTGCTGATCAACCAGGGCCTCTCATTGTGATGATGACTGTCTTCACAGCTCAACTTGTGTTTTAGAATATTGAAAGTCGCTGATATTTTATTATTTGGTTGCTTGTGTCTTAGCGATGACATAATCTCTTCACAGGTATAGCCAATTGTTTTCATAGTCGCCATGACCCTGGATACGATATTTTTACTTGCAGGTTCTGCATGCTCTTCATTATGACTCAGCCAAGATCTTTCCAGGAGCTGACATATTGTTATCCTGTGCAGGTTGTTGACCTTTAGTAATTGGGCAATGATGATATGACAGGGTTTGGACAGGTGGTAGGGAATGGCAAACTTTGTGCTGGTGATGAGACTGTATAAAGCATGAGCTTCGGTTTCAAAATATGGATATTGTCCTGTCACCAGTACATATAGGACCACTCCCAAGCTCCACATATCCACTGCCAGCCCATCATAGGGTGTCCTTGCCATGATTTCTGGAGCCATATAATACAAAGAGCCACAGGCCTTCGTCAACATCTGCCCCTCTTTGACCTGAATTGCCATCCCAAAATCACAAATCTTGATGTTTCCAGCTCTGTCAATAAGGATATTTGCCAATTTAATGTCACGATGTGCAATTTGTCTTTGGTGGAGAAAGTGTACTGCTTTCACTACCTGTTGGAATATTGGTCTAGCTTCTTCCTCCTTTAGATATCCAATGTCCCTAAGGAACATCTCCAAGTCCTTTCCTGCCACATACTCCATGACCACATAAGTTAATTTTAGTGTGTCCATGACATGGAAAAATCTAACAATGTTTCTGTGTTCCAAAGACTGAAGGATCTCTACTTCAGAGGTGATGACATTCACAGAATTTTGATTTCTCTCAAGTACCTTGACAGCAACCTTTGTATTTGTAGGAAGGTGGCAGGCAAGCTTCACCTCCCCAAATGAACCAGAGCCTAGGGATTTTAAGATTATGAAATCATTTTCAATGATGTCCTCTTCAACCTGGCTGACCATGTTGCTTTCTTCAATTTCAAAAACTTTATTCTGTTGACAATTCCTGGGGAAAACAATGCTGGAAGCAAAAACAAAAGGAATTTCAGGATGAAGGTTTACTGCTGTGAATTGTCTACTATGAAATTACACATAGCCTAAAGAAACATAGATGTAATTCAATGACACCCAAACACTAGAAGACCCAACCTCAAAGCACTACATGAGGAATCATTGCAAATATCAAAACTGGAATCACTGATGTGTATATTCGATGGACAATCCTGGGGACAAAGTAGACTTGAGGAGGTTATTGTCAAGAATGTATCAAGATGAAAAACCCTGGCCATAAGTGATCAAGAGACACAGTATACAAATTAAATACGTAGAAATAAAAGGTTAAGTACTAACCAACTTAAAATCCAGAGGGTCTTTCAGGGAAGTTTCAACTATTAAACCAAGAACATTTCATAGTATGAAAGGACTTCTTAGATATGTGTGAAAATTGAATTCAGATAAAAGTAAAACAATTCAATACATGAGGCATAAGCAACAAAAGTGGCTGCTAACAAAATGACTCCAAAGGAGGTTGAGCCCTGCTGTCTTGGATCCCGTGAATCTATCAAATCTTTGGAGAAGAAAGAACACCATACTGGAGGGATTTGTGTCACACCCCGAAACAAGCTAGAGTCTTTAGAGAGGAACAAACCTCAGTTGAAACAATGGCTTCATGATATACAGCTGTTAGGCATTTTCAAATAGGTAATCAATGTAGCAGGACAGTCCATTGTGAGTGGTTCTCTACCTACTTGGAATTGCATCCTGGGTTCTACACTAAAATAGGTTGATGAAGCCAGTAATCAGCACCCTTCCATGGGTTCTGCATCAGCTCCTGCCTCAAGAAACCTGCTCTGTTTGAGTTCCTGTCATGACTTCCTTTAGAGACAAACAGCAATCTTGGAAGTGTAAGATGAAAAACCCTTTCCTTCTGAACTTTCTTGTTGGTCAGGGTGTTTGGTTGCAACAATAGAAACCCCAAGACAAACACCAAGGTTACAGAAAATACTTCTAGAAAGAGAGAGGAAAGGAATGTCTCCAAACTGATCCCCGAGCCAGTATTACCATGAGACTGCAAGCAAATAAGCACATAAAGTATAAACTGCTTTTTCCTCAATAAAGGTAGATGAGAAAATCATTAATGAGAATCCTTGATACTTCACATTAATCTCAGCAATACACCGCAGATCCGTTCATTCACAATAAAAATGGCCTCAACCAGGAGCAGACATATTTTATGTTGTCAGGGTCATGAGGCCTTTTTTATTTATTTTTATTTTGAGACAGGTTTCTCTGTGGCTTTGGAGGCTGTCCTGGAACTAGCTCTTGTAGACCAGGCTGGTCTCAAACTCACAGAGATCTGCCTGCCTCTGCCTCTCGAGTGCTGGGATTAAAGGCGTGCACCACCACCGCCCAGCTGAATACCATGTTTTGAATACCATGTTTTGTCAGGGAGAGGAAGAGGCAGACCTTTTCTTTTTTTTGAGACAGGGTTTCTCTGTGTGGCTTTGGAGCCTATCCTGGAATTAGCTCTTGTAGACCAGGCTGGTCCGAAACTCACAGAGATCTGCCTGCCTCTGCCTCCCGAGTGCTGGGATTAAAGGCGTGTGCCACCAACACCCAGCGTCTGGGTCTTGAGGAAGCAGGAAAATGAGATTTTGCCAATGTCATAGTATCAGTCACAAAGATATCCTGGTAAAAGTGAAGTAGTGTTTCCTAATTCAGCGATATCCACCCACCCAGAGACTGCCAATGTGCCTGTTCCAGTCCTGCCTCCACCTGAGGGTCTACATAAGCTTGGGCTTCTTTGCAGCCTTTCTTCTGCCCGGCTGGGGTAACCTGAGGCCCGGGGACTGCTCATGGGGGTTCCCAATTCAGTGGAATCCAGCCCACCCAGAAACTTCCAAGTTTCCAAAATCATTTCGGCCTCATTCCATGGGAATAGATGGGGCATCACAGTATTGGACCCATTTACCCTACCAGAAGGGAACCTTGTCCCATACCCACCAGGAGAGGAAGAGAGTCCTTCTACACCCACCAGAAGAAGGGATGGGAAGACAATATAAAAATACATTCAACAACAGAAAAACCCAGATGAAACTACTAGAGTCTAGGGACCCTACACCAGCACGACCTGAACATCACAACACAGATGAAGCAGAAGAGAATGAACTTAAAAACATATTTATGAAAATGATAGAGGGCCTCAGAGAGAATATGAGAAAACCCATTAAAGGTATGAAGGGAAAAAAAGGCAAAAAATTCTAGGAATCAACAAATCTCTTAAGGAAAGCCAAGACAATACAATCAAACCGATGAAGGAAACAATTTAAGACCTGAAAACTGAAATAGAGCCAATAGAGAAAACACAAATTGAGGGAATGCTGGAAATAGAAAAGCTGGGTAAACGATAAGGAACTACAGATGCAATCATAACCAACAGAATACATAGATGGAGGGGAGAATCTTAGGTGTTGAAGATACTCTAGGAGAAATAGACTCATGGACCAAAGACAATCTTAAGTCCAATAAATCCCTAACACAAATTATCCAGAAATATGGGACACCGTGAAAATACCAAAACTAAGAATGATAGGTATAGAAGGAGGTGAAGAAACCCAAGTCAAATGTGCAGAAAACATATTCAACAAATTCAAAGAAGAAAACTTTCCCAATCTAAAGAAAGACAGGCCAATGAGCATGTAAGATGCCCACAGAACATCAAATAGAGTGGACCACAAAAAACGGTCTCCTCCACACATAGTAACCAAAACTCCACACATACAGAATAAAGAAAGAATATAAAGATAAGCAAAGGAAAAAGGTCAAGTAACATATAAAGGTAAATCAATCAGAATTACACCTAGCTTTTCCATGGAAACACTGAAAGCTAGACAGCTGTTCTACACAAACTAAGGGACCATGGATGCCAGCCCAGACTACTATACCCAGATAGGCTTTCAATCAATATAGAGGGAGAAAACAAGATATTCCATGACAAAACCAGATTTAAACAATACATATCCACCAATCCAGCACTACAGAATGTTCTGGAAGGAAAACTGCATCCCAAGGAAGTTACAAATGAGAAGAAATCTTAGATACAATCTTGGTCCTGTCAGAATTGCTAAAATCAAAAACACCAATGATAGTTTATACTGGAGAGGACGTGGAAAAAGGGGGACACTCCTCCACTTCTGGTGGGAGTGCCAACTCAAACAGCTGCTTTGGAAATCAGTATGAGGATTCTCAGTAAAATTAGAATCAGCCTACCACAAGATCCAGCAATTCCAGTCTTAGGCATATACCCAAAAGAAGAAGCATATCCAGACAACAAGAACAACCTTTCAAATATGTTCATAGCAGCATTATTCATAATAGCCAGAACCTGGAAGCAACCTAGATGCCCATCAACTGAAGAAGGGATAGAGAAAAGGTGATACATTTACACAATGGAGTACTACTCAGCCGAAAAAAAAACAAGGGAATCTTAAAATTCGTATGCAAATCGATTCACCATTCTGAGTGAGGCTACACACTCACAAGAAGAGAAACATGGTATGTACTCACTCATATATGTATTTTAGACATAGAGCAAAGGATTACCAGCCTACATACAGTCAAGGTCGCCAGAAAATCTTGGAAACAAGGATGACTCTAAGAGAGAGATACATGGTCTGCCAGAGAAGAGGAAAGGGAGAAGATCTCCTGAGCAAATTCGGAATATGGGGGGATGGGTGAAGGACCTAGGAGAATGAGAAGGTTCCAAGAGGAGAGGTTAGGAGGACATGAGGGAGCAGGAAGTTTGAGATGAGGGAAGAATAGCAAAATAAGAGATAACATAACAGAGGGAGCCATTACAGTTTTAAAGAGAAATCAGGCACTATGGAAATGTTCAGAGATCTACAAAAATGTCACCAACTAGCAATCTAAGCAAGAGAGGAGAGGCTACCTTAAATTCCCTCCACTGATAATGAGATAGATGACTAAGTTATATGCCATCCTATAGCCTTCATCCAGCATCTGGTGGAAGCAGAAGCAGACACCAACAGCCAAACACTGAACTGAACTGGAATCCAGTTGAAGAAAAGGAGTCATGAGCAAAGGGTTCAAGACAAGGCTGGTGAAACCCACAGAAATAACTCAATTGGACAACGGGGAGCTCTTGGTCCCCAGACTGATAGCTGGGATACCAGCATGGGAATGACCTGAACGTAGGTGTTAGTGTGGAGACCTTGGAAATCTATGGTTCCACTTGTAGTAGATCAGTACATATCTCTAGCATAGGAACGGACTTTGGGAGCACATTCCACATTGAGGGATACTCCCTGAGACTATCCCAAAATATATGACAGACTCTGAAGACCCCCTATGGAAGGTCTCACCCCCCCTGGGTAGCAGAAAGTGTATGGGATTAGTAGACTGTTAGTTGGTGTGGTGACTGGGGAGGAAGTGAGGGAGAAGGAACTGGGATTGACATGTAAAACAAGATTTTTTTCCTAATTTAAATAAAAAATAATGGAAAAAAAGTGAAGTAGTGCAGGAGAATATTATCAAAGTACAGTAAGGCGTGTATGGAAATGGTATAATCAAATTGGATATTGTGATATATACTTAAATAAGTTTTAATACAGGAAAAATATCCAGATGGAAATAAAAGACATAATAGTCAAAACCCAATAAGAAATAATAATTAATGAAGAAAGGCAATACACAGGCAAAAATTAACACTAGAACAAACCAGACATTGTAACTATAAGCATGAAATATCAAACATAAACCCCAGAAAGGAAAACCAACCAAATGAGAAATAAACTCACTATGTTGAGGTTCAGTTAATTAGAAAAGTCCAACACTATCAGGTTCATTGTTACCTCATTACTGCTTTGTAGGCATCAAACAGTGACTCCAATGTTGAATGACACGGCCGAGCTGCAGGCTGTGTACACATATACAAGTATCTTGAA